TTTAATAAACTATCATCTTGTCTTTATTTTTAGTTAGCACATACCTTAAACACTTCAAGCTGTAAGCTAATGATAGTTATATAAGGGCAGACGCATGCTGGTGCAATAAGCTGTACGTTTTACGTCCAATGGATGCATGAGCTGATTAGTCGACTAATCGCAAACATAATCAGTGACTAGTCGACTATTAAAATAATCGTTTGTGGCAGCCCTAGTAAAGAACTTTAACTACACATTTAGTCCCTGATATATTTTAATATGAAAAAAAAGATATCAATATAAACCATGCATACCAGTTTTTCTTCACAATGAAGAAATGCTGCTGTAGTAAATTAAATAAATCTATTTGGGATGATTAAATTGTAAGAAATAAGTGTGTAAAATGACAAAAAAGTTCTGGTATCATATTGCCCAATCTGTATTTTAATTATAACACGAGATGATTTTGTTATTTGACAGAATGTCCTTTTTTTTATATAATCAGTTAACAATTTTTTTTTTAAATTCTGGAGCTACTGGAAAAAGAAACATACTTTTCTGTAGTAGATGGCAAAAAACAAACTTTCTGTAATTTAATTTATTTATTTACTTTGATGTAGTATTAATGGTTATTAATGAGGTATTCAGGAGAAGAGCTACAAAAACTTATGAAATTACAGTTAAATGCCCCATATTTATGTCCTCCTTAATATTTTCCAAAGCTGCCAAGCTGGCCAGATTGGAGCCTTTGGCAGGCTAATTCTGGCCCTGGGCTTTATATTTGACACCCATGGATTAGACACACAAGTTACGACACAATGTGTGTATAGGGACATGAGTGTGTTTTGAAAAAATATATAAAGCAGCACAGCACATTTACCTTTCTGAGTTTGTGTTCAAAGGTGTGTATGTTCTTCTGTTGTGTCTGACACTTCTGATTAAAAAAAGAAAAAACTATTGTTCTTGAATGAAAGGAACATCAATTAACAAGAGTGGTTAAAAGTGGCAATTTTACCACTTCTGTGCTTGCACACTGAAAATTAGGATTTCTTTTCACAATTTGTACTTAAAAAAACATCACTCCATCACAAACAGACTGTCTCTGAAAGGGCATGATAATCAGACAGGTATGTCGTTAAAGGTAACCTTTAAAAAAATACAAACATATGGTAAACATTTGTTTTGTGCACTATATCTGTAGCTAAGATATGTTAAAGCAGAGACAGTTTGACCACTCTTACTATCTGAACCAGTTGTTTGCACAAGTTATATTGCTAACTTGCATGACGTAAGATTTTATCCATGTAGAAAGTGTTTGGAAGAATTTGTGTGTTCTAGCACTTACTCTTGTGTAACAATATAGATAATTTCCCATATTATCAAAAGGGACAATCCACACAGACTATGAAACATGCACTACTAAAGTGTCACCTTGCAACACAGATTTTACAGAACACCTCTATTATTTTGAACCAGTTACCGTGAAATCACTTTGGGGCTTGAACTGAACTCCCAAAGAGAAAGAGGATGTCTGTTTTCTGGCAGCCAGAAAGGCACTATTCAACACTGCAGGGTAAAAACCTCATACTGCAACTTCAGTGAAAGTTACTGTCATGGAAAGGTGTTGAAGGTGCAAGCACAAGCAAATATCACCAGGGTATTCCAAAGACAGTCTGATTAGAAATTCTGCACAAGACTGACTGCTTAGCTTTGCACCACCCTATCTCCTGTCTCATTTTATTTAAATGCTTACCTAAAGGAAGCAGCTAAAGCACCTCTACTATTCGCCTTAAGTCAATTCTGTAGCATGGTAATGAGGAAATAGTGTAAGATTGGTGGGGGTGGCAAGACCTTGTGCAAGGTTGTTCTTCTGGCTGAGTCTTATCACTTTAAGGAGCTTTAATATTTGTGTTTGGTTAGCAGGGGCGCTTGTATTCTGTTGTGAAAACTGGACATTGTATTAATTTTTTTATTCCTCTTGTCCCTTTAAAATGCCATCCGTTGTATTTCTCTGCTCCTCTTTATATAGGCACGTGAAGCAGACACTCATGTGCACTAAGGATGCATCAATCCCACAGTTTCCGGTCTCCATTTGGCTTTGGGCGTATGCCAATACTGAGTATACTGATCAGATAATAATGTTAAATTAATAATTGTATTCCTTGGAGTCATTCTTTCAGCAATTTATTTGCACTAGTCTCATAACAGCTCAGTGTAAGAGTCATTAGGCTACTGCATATTGGTATAATTTTCCAGACGTGCAAGTTTCTCCTTTCCCTGTTGTTCTTCTGTCACCTCCTCACTCGTGTGTTATGTGTGGAGTTGAGGTGATGAGAGAAAGGTACAAATAGTTGACGACATCATATAACCTTGCCACAAGTGAGACAAAGTTTGCCCCAGTTCCCCCCAGATTTGCTGTCATAGGGTGCTAGACCCTGGATGGATGGAATTGTTTTTCTTCTTCTTCTTCTTCTCCTTCTTCCCGTTTGAGTGTTTGGTGGTTCAAGTGTTCCAGCAATGGTAGAAACACTAGATCTGACCTTAAAGTAAGGCTGTGTGATTTTTGTTTTCTCTCTTTTTTTTAAATACCAATACCAAATAATCTAAAAAGCTTTGTTATATTATTTTGTTTTGTCTTTTTTTTTTTTTAACATAAAACCTACAAGCCAAAGGGAAAATAGGACCACAAATTATTATTAGCCTTTATTTCTCCTGAACATGTAGCTCAGCTGTGGGATCAGTTTCCTAAAGGTACCAGAATAGCCATTGATTTATCCTGAAGCTGTGGAGATAGTTTCCCCAGCTGGTCCTGAATGTTCGCTTGCGACCTTGAAGAGTACGCCAATGAATCATGCTGAAAGGCTCAACAGGCCCTGAGCTTTGAGGGGGTTGAGTCCAGGGTTGAGCCACATTGATCATATACATACTTTGCCCCATTTGTGTCAGCTGGCATCAGACGTTTGTCCAAAACTTTGAATTTGTAAAGTTGCCATAAACTATTAAGAAATGATTTGATTATGTGATTTCAAATTATTTTGGAAAGCACTCTGATCACTAGTTATAATCACTGCTGTCCTAAGGTTTAGTTGTCATTTTACAGATAATAATGACCTAAGAATAAGTACCTTACATTCTTGTTTGATGCTATTTGTAGAACTCTTAATTAACACACATTCCTCATTTTTTTCCCAAACATTTTACTATTTGTCTCTTTGATGTACTGCTTCTAGCTTAAACCGTATTTATTAATTGACTGCAATTACTTTTACTGCTACTAAGTTCGAATGTCTTTCCTCTCTCTAGGGCAGAATGCAGTCTTCAAACCACAGATTACGAGATATGGAGCAGCACCATCCGCTGCTGTCAGCAGGTGCGGATGTCGAGACAGGTAGCCTTGCAGCCGGAGTGATGGTTGGAGGTCCACATGTGGGTCACACAGCCGGAAACCGCACTCTGTGGTTTATTCAGGACAGCTGTGGTATGGTGTGTGCAACCATGACCTGGTTCCTGGTTCTGTACGCTGAATTTGTTGTGAACTTCGTCATGCTTTTGCCTGCCAAGAACTTCTGGTACTCGCTGTTGAATGGTGCTACCTTCAACTCACTGGCTGTGCTTGCGTTGGCCTCGCACCTGCGCACCATGCTGACTGACCCGGTAAGTATGTTTAATACAGTAAGGGTGGAGAAGGCAAAGGTCACTGAAAGTGTGAGAGTTTCAGTCTGATGGTAATTATTTGTTTTTGCAAACAAACAACATTTACAAATATTAAATAGAACCAGGCTTATTGTTGTAATTTTGCAAGCTAAATTTTTGGTGTTTTGGTTATCAAATCATCTTAATGAAATAAAGATGTGTGGCATGATGCTCAGAGTTTGTATAGTAGTCTTACTGCAGTAGATGTTTTGACAGTGAAGCTTACACCATGAGTAAAAATCACTGACAGTGATACTTGGAGTCACTCACTGATGTAATCTGGGACACTAAGCTTAGGGATAGTGTGTGAGTGGATGCTGTGCACGAAAGCAGCACAGTGCAGTCTTCTGAACTGAATTTCTGTCAGCTTGTTACTCTAATCTGTTAAGAGCATTTGAGGTTTTCAAAAAAATGTTCAACTTTTAATTTGGTTTGCTACTGACTTTGCTTCTAATACTTGGCGAATAGTTTAAATACAGCAAAGTCATGTGTCGGGGGGATTGCACGTCTAATACTGTTAGTGCTGCTGTTGAAATGTCAACTGATTCTAAGTCAAAGAAACTAAAATGTCTGGTGACAGCCCCACTGTTGCCTCCAGCCCAGTGGCCCTTCCTGAACAAATGCTTAATTTAAATCCACCAAGTAAAACACAGAAGTGTACGCTGTAGTGGAGAAACTGGAGTTTCAGCTGTACTTTCAAGGTCTTAAGGTCATCTGTGTATTTGAGTTTAAGTGGGAGTTACACACTGGGTGTTTCAGTCGACATGCCAAAATGGTTTTGGGCAAGATACTGAACCCCGAGTTGGACCCAGTGCATTCATCAGAGTGTGAATATGTGCGTGAATGCTTGACATGTGTGCTTGTGTGAATGTTTGCGTGAGTGGGTGAGTCAGACATAGTGTATAGAAAAAGCTGTGAGTCCTCAAGTAGAATAGAAAAGTTGTGAATAAGAACCAAGGCATCTGTTTGTGTCTCAGTTGGACTATTGCCATTTTGGGTTATTAAGATTAATTACTTGTATTACTTTATACAAGTAGACATTGTGTGCTTTTTTTTTTTTATTTAAATTAAAGTATTTTTTCCCCTCTCACAGCCTAGAGACATTAAGAACAGTGGGTGAATTGCTGTATATGCTTGAATTCTCAATGACCCCAGCATAATGCATTTATGTGGATCTTTATAATAAAAAGCATGTTTCTTTTTCTGTCTGCCCTTTTCCTTAGGGCGCAGTTCCCAAGGGTAACGCAACAAAGGAATATATGGAGAGCTTGCAGTTGAAGCCTGGCGAGGTCATCTACAAGTGCCCAAAGTGCTGTAGCATCAAGCCTGAGAGGGCACACCACTGCAGGTCAGTCTAACACCATGCATACGCAGCAGGCAAAGCATGAGCAGCATGTAATGAAGCACATTCAGACTCTGTGACTTAGTAATACACAGGCTTGTTGTAGCAGGAAAAATGTTCCTTAAAACATATTTTATGAAAGGACAAACAGAGTAGCTGATTACATTTGCATTAGCAGTCAGTTTGTCATGAATTAAACTCTCCTTTCTCCTGCCTGCAGTATTTGTAAACGATGCATCAGGAAGATGGATCATCACTGTCCCTGGGTCAATAACTGTGTGGGAGAAAAGAACCAGAGATTCTTTGTTCTTTTCACTGTAAGTACACAGTTGCAGTCATGAGTTAATCTGTTTGTTAAAGTTACAAAGCAAGTAGAAATGCTCGTTTTACATATGAAAATACTGTTTTTAATCCTCTTAGAAAATTGCTTGTTTTCCACTCATTTTAAATTTAAATAAATACATAAATTACATTTTATTTGGTACTACATGGGAGATATTGCAAAAGTCTCCCCACTTGCTTCATTTCCATGATCAAATAAGCAGCTCAGCTCAGTAGAGATGCACCGCACAGCAGGAACATGCCGACATTAAATGTGCTTTCATGGCCATCTGTGACTCTCTTGACAGAATCAGCACTTCTTTCTGGTTTCGTGTGCTGACTCGAACTTTTTTGAGGGCAGAAACATAAAGCTGTCATATATGGTTGAGTGGCACAAGGTCATAGTTAACTTTCCTTTCAGATTGCCATAAAGGAGAAGTTATCTGTGGAAACACAGGTTCATCATTTAATCCTTTAAAGCCCAGCATATTGTATTTGATACATGTGTTTTTGTGAGTTTTTGAGACCTCTACATCATCAGCGTGACTTTTTTTTTTTTTAACCCTCAGGATAGGATATAAAGGATATAAATTGCATGACACATTTTTAATGACTAAATTGCAAAAATATGGTTTATGTAGTAAATGTGATAGAAATTAAAACTCATGAATATATATATGCAGATTAAAATTCAGATTCAAATATTTGTATTAGTGCTGTCAAAATTAACGCGTTAACACAAATTAATCCACCATCACGGTCAACGCGGTTAAAGTTTTTAATGCAATTAACACATGTGGTAGAACCTGTGTTAAAAGATTGAAGAAAACTATTCAAATTCTCTTTGAATTTAAGTATAGATTATTTGTTTATTCTGCATTTACTTCATTATAATGCATAAATGTCTGTTACAAGCTTAAATATAAAGTTGAAAAAAAATCAAGTAATCAGGATCAAGTAAATGCGATTAATCGCGATTAATTACAGACAATTTTGAGATTAGTTAATTTTTTTAAATCTATTAACACCACTAATTTGTATATATTTTGTCTAAATGGTAAATGGCCTGCATTTGTATAGCGCTTTACTTAGTCCCTATGGACCCCAAAGTGCTTTACACTACATTCAGTCATTCACCCATTCATACACACATTCAGACACACTGGTGATGGCAAGCTACATTGTAGCCACAGC